CACACACACACACACACACACACACACACACACACACACACACACACACACACAAACACACACACACGATAAGCAAACCTCAATCTCGGCAATGTGGAGCTTGCGTGTGGTTCTCAGCTTGGTCATATCCTTGTGAATGGGCTGGACAGCAAGGAGTCAAAAAGAGCCGGGGGGACAGAGAAACAGACAGAGAGAGGGAAAGAGAGAGTGTGTGTGTATGTGTGTGTGTGTGCGTGTGTGTGTGAGGAGAGACATGCAATCGCAACACACACGCACACGCACATACTCGACCACAAGCGCACACACGACCACAAGCGCATGCACAAGCACACGCACAAGCCAACCTCACCCCCACCCTTCCTCCCCCCCATGCTGCGTGCCGCTTACCAAGCTGTCCATCTGTTCCAGGAGGCGAACGTTCATCTCGTTGACGCCCAGCACTTGCTTCTTCAACTTCTTCACCGCCTCAGGCACAAGCTCCTTTGCCAGAAACCCCTAGGCGTGGCGTAGCGTGTGTGTGTGTGCATGTGTGTGTGTGTGCAGTTTGTGAGACGAGGGTAACATAATGCACAATGCACAATGCACAATGTACAATGCACAATACACAATGCACAATACACAATGCACATGTAGTTGTGTGCTCGAGAAAGCAAGACGCACACGCACGAGACGACAGACATGCAAGCACACACCACAGGAGCCAGTCAAACACGTAATATGTGCGCGCGCACCTCTGAGATCTGCTTCCACGTCTCCTCGTGCGTTTGCATTTCCTTTGCGTGCTTTTGGATGCTCTCGTGTACTTCCGCCAGCTTCTTCTTGCACTGCTCAATCTCTGGACTCTCCTGCGCGCAACAAAAGCATCACAGGCCACCCATATGCAGGGCAAGCGTGAATGGGCAAGCGTGAATGGTGGAAGCTCAAGCAACAACAAAGAGGAGGCAGGCGGGAAGACAGCACAACACAGAACGCAGAACACGGCACACGCAGACATACGCACGCACGCACGCACACACACACACGACCTTTTCGCCCATTAGCATGAGCTTGAGTTTGGATTTCTTCGTCAGCGATCTCAACTCTGCATCGTAATCCTTCAACACACGACCTGGCGTGTACCACGGCAACAATGCCGACAAGCAGGGATCAAGTCAGCGCCAGTGAAGATCAACCACACATGCGGCGGGTCAGCACAAGGGCGAACGTGATCAAACAAACATGAGGCGAACAAGCAATACACGCAAGTGATCCAACACAACATACAATAACACAGCACACACCTTTGAGAAGCAGCTTCTGGGCCTTGACAGGCACCCGTGACACCTCCTCAATGTTGTCCTGCAACTGTCTCAGCCTTGTCGACGGTGGTACAGACAGCTGCAAGCAAGTAGCGGCACAATGAGGCATGTTGAAGGTGGAGAGGTGATTCCCATCGCACGCACACATGCGACGTAAGTGCGCACACACACACACACACACACACACACACACACACACACACACACACACACACACACACACACACACACACACACACACACACACACACACACACACACACACACACACACACACACACACACACACACACACACACACACACACACACGCACGCACGTGTACCTTGTACTTGTCTGCACCATGCGTGACCGTCACCGCCAACATCGCCATCGTCCTTTTGCTCCTTTGGTTAATTTAATATAAAAAAATGCATCAGGGATTCCATGAAGTTTTAATGCATCGAAAGTGACAGGTCAACGCCCACCAACGGCAACAATAATTTGACAGGAGCAACAAAGCGAAAGCGTTCATTCATTCATTCATATCACTGCATGTCAACCTACGTTCCCGCCCTCCTCCTTCTCCGATCGTTTTCCACCATGAACTTCCAAGATGAGTTCAAGCAAGCCGATGCCGGCTCGCCGCTGGCCCAGGCCGGCCTGGTACGTGTGTAGCTGTTGCTTGAATGGTGTGTTGGTGGATGGAGGCCATGCACCTTGCTACTGCATGCTGGTGTTGTTGTTGTTCCATCTTCTCTCGTGTTCGCTTCATCCAACACGATCGTGTTGTCCCCCCCCCCCTTCCTCCTGCTGCTTGACAACGCTTTGATGATTCCAGATGCAACTGAGCACGCCGCAGTTCAACGGCCAAGTCCAATGGCAGGTGCGTTGTTGTTGTTGTTGTTGTCGTTGTTGTGTGTGTTGTTGTTGTTGTTGTGTGTGTTGTTGTTGTTGTGTGTGTTGTTGTTGTGTGTTGTTGTGTAAGCTACTCCTCCTCCTCCTCCTCCTCCTCCTCTTCCTCCTCCTCTTCTTCCTCCTCCTCTTCTTCTTCTTCTTCTTCTTCTTCTTCCTCCTCCTCTTCTTCTTCTTCTTCCTCCTCCTCCTCCTCCTCCTCCTCCCGCTCTTGCTTTTCTCCCTTCTGTTCATGAGTGTGTCTTGGTTTGTCGACCCTGCCAGCCAAGCGTGCTCCTGATGAATAAGCACCACCGCACCTCCCGCGTAACCCACATGCGCCCACTTCCACGCACTTGCGCGAATCCATAAATTAGATCGTGGGCGACGAGTCCCAGATCCTCGAGGTTGTCCTCAACCAGGGTGATGCTGTCACCACCGAGCCCGTAAGTGGCCGCCCTCATTGCTCCCCCTTCATTCCTCGGTGCCTGTTGCGAGTTGTTCCTTTCTTTCCTTCTCTCCACTGCCTGTTTGCGTTTGTCGCCCATGTTCTG